TATTGATATTACGATCAAAGAATTTACACATTTTTATTATAAATATTTTAAGAAAGATTTATATGTAAAAAGACGTGGTGGCTATAGAGGTTGTACGTATTTTAAGGTGGTTCATACTCCCGGAAAAATTTCAAAGAAAACCAATAAGTTCAAGTGCTGAGTTCTATTAACATGATTAAGTCAACAAACAAATTAACACAACAAAGTAAAAAAAAAAGTTAAATTTTTTTTGCCCCGTTTATTCACACTTTAATGCTTGAAAAACTATGATTAAGCAAAAAATATCTGCTTAACAAACTTAAAATTTATAAGACCATCACTATTAGGTAATTGCACAGCAGGTAAAGTTTCATAAGGTAAATTTCATAAGTTTTCTACATATTTAAAAAAAGTTATCAAAAAATATCTGAAAAATAATGAAAATTGACAAGGATTGCCCTAATAAAGACTATAAAAACTGTACTTTTTAAAGTTGTGCTAAGATGCTGTTTCAGCTCCATCACATCACCACTACAATATTTTCGGGAAATTTCAAACCATTAGGTTCAGAATATCTTTTATATTAAAAATATATAATAAGAAATAAAAAATAGGCTAGAACTAAAAAAAAAAAAAAAAAACTTTATAAAACAGTAAGTTAGCCTGAGCTACATAATACTGGTATATTTCGATTCATCTTATTCAAAAAGATTTTATAATGACTCTCAGTTTTGTTTTTTGCTCAGTGCCTTATTTAGCGCTCTTTTCGTTTATAAATTTTATACATTAGTTTTGTTTATAAATTTTATACCATTTTTAAAGCATTATTTATAAAAAAATTATATATACCAAGTTTAACAAAAATGTATACGCTTTCAATAACTCCATTGTAAAATGGATTTCAATAACTTTGTCATAAATAATGGATGAAAATGCGTATAAATTTAATACTTTCTTTGAGAAAAACACACTTTTGAGGCATTTTTTTCAAATAACACTAATCAATTCCAAATAACATTATACAATTGTAAAAACTGCAAATAAACAACTTTTATTTTAGACCGTGAAAATTGTTGTTTTAAAGTATGGAATTTAAATAAGTTTTTAATTACATTTTCAGCTCAATAATTTCTTCTTACACTTTGATTATGCAAGTTCTCCAGCTTGTTTCAATCTCAAAGAGCCGTTGCTATGATGTTGCTAGAGGCATTTTTTTTTATACACTAAAATAAATTTTTGCTATCTTATTTTACATTTTTTAAAAACTCAAATGAAACATTTTACTTTATTATAATATTATACATGGAAAAAAGCCAAATAAATACTTTTTGATTATTGACAATAGGGGTATGAACCATCTTTACAAATGTCTTTTTACTTTTTTGTTTTTTACATAAACTTTTATTCTAAACAGTGTCAGTAAGACTGCACCTGATCAAAAAATACACGTTACAATTATAACATAGGCGTTCTATCTTCTTATCAGCCGTAAACCATTCATAAAAATCTCACGCCAATCCCAGTAGAATGTTTCTAGTGAAATTGGCATAGGGCTACCATAATTAAATCTAAATTAAATCCTGGTTTCTACTAGAAAACCAAATTAAATTTATGGCAATATCTTCTATTGATCTCATTTTTGGATAAGTAGTAAATTACAAGCAACTATCAGTATCAACTAAAAAACGTAAGAAGTTTTTAAGTACTTTAAATCAATTAAATCTTGTGCAAATTTTATTTTGAAAAAGTTGCATTATTTATGGTAATAAGTTCTCATATATATATATAAAATATAAGAAATTCCATCCCAAAATAATCCTGAGCAAACCACCAGTTCAACTTGGAATACTTCTAAAACTAAGTTCAAATTTTTTTTGTGTTTGTCTAAATAGTATTGCAACAAATTACAATCTTCTTAATCTTTCCGTTAAAGCGGAAATATTTGAAACAAAAATATTACATGAAAAAGAAATAATATCAAAATCTCAGAACAACCCAAAACTTGTCTACAAATACATTAACAACCAACTCAAAATTAAAGATAAAATTCGTTCTTTCAAAAAAGTTTCAGATGAAATTACTGAAACTCTTCTCAATATACTTGAACTTCTGAACTCTCAATTTAAATCTATGTTTACTTTTGAAAGCCCCCAAAATTTTCCATTGCTAAATAAAAGTGAAGTTAAACCTAAATACAATTATAATAACAACTTTGATTTTTCCATTGCATACATTATTGTTAAACTTACCGATCTAAACCCTTTCAAATCTTTTAAACCTGACGGGTTGCACCCTTAAATACTTAAGAGATGTGCCAAAAGCTTGGCAGTTCCTCTTACAAAAATCTTTTATAAATCTTTTAGTTATGGAATAGTACCAACTCCCTGGAAATTAGCAAAAACTAGTCTGATATATAAAAAAAGGGAGGCAAACTACTTCCTGAAAACTGTCGCCCTATTTTACTTACCTCTGTTGCGTGCAAAATATTTGAAAAAGTTGTAAAGAATAAAATCTTGAAGCACAAATCATCATGGCTTCCTTCATCATAAGTCTCTTATGTCATCTGTTTGCTAAGAAGAATTAGTGAAAGAAAAATTTATTTTATTCGACATAGAAATATTGACCATTCTCAAATGTTATTCTAGGATAAAACCGGTTTTAACTTACATTCAAAACCAAATTTCTAATATTCACCTAAAAACACTTCTGCATTTACAACTGTTCCTGCAAAAAAAAGTCGCAATACCAGTCTATTTGCATTAACACCTGCCAGAGCAATCTTAAAACATTCACTTATTGAGGGACCTTTCAACACTGAATTTTTTTTAGAATTTATTAAGCAATAGTATAAAGCAATATTGTTTGAAAATAAAATTCTTATCATGGAAAACGTAAGAATTCATAAATAAGAACTGATAATTCAATTTTTTAGCAATAAGAATATTAGATACGGACATCTGCTCCCATATTTTCCCAGTTAATTCTTATAGAAGAAGTATTTTCAAGATTAAAAAACAGATATTACAAATAATATCGATAACCAGAAACTAAAGAAGATATTATTCAACACAATAATATGGTAATAGCAGATATAAATGAGAATACTGATTTTATGGCGTTTTGTGAACATACGAAGCATTATCTTGATCATGCTTTTCTAGGACAATTATTTAAATAAAATCTTAACATTTAGCAACTCTTTTTATATATATATTTTTGGATGTATTTTTTATTTTAGTTAAGAAAGGTATTTTATGAATTTAATATAACTGTAAACAACCCGCAAAATAAATATTAATATACTGATATACAATTATAATTAAATCGCTATTATTATTATGATTAGCCCTAAATAATTATTATTAACCCTGTAATAAGTTCTTTATAAGTTTTTTTGGTGATAGGATTTGTTCCTTGCTTTATAAAAGTAATGGAATAGCATTTAAATAATATAATTACATTTTCTTTTCAGCATCTCTACGTGTGATTACAATGCATAATGTATTAGAAGCAGAAACCGAGGAATTTGATCTTTATTGATATTTTTAAATACACACTTTACAGCTGCTTAAGTATCTCTCATTAAAAAGAAAGGATTGTATAGGTCAGAGTTAAACAAATCTAACCAAAATATATTGAGTACATATCAGATAGGTGTGTGCAGTCAATGTATTAAAGGAAAAAATATCTTAATTTTTTGTTTCCATTTTAAAGGTTTTAGCCTTTTTGCTAAGTGGAACGTTTATTCCTATTTGACTAATGCCATTTAAGATAATAACTTATTAGAAAATAACGTGCTTGATAAGTCTGTGTTCAAATGGTCCTGTGCCGTTGTTTAAATGACCACCAGTGGAAAAGGAATGCTAGTTTACACCATTTGCAAAGTTGAGCTACCGACTAAACTACTAGAGTTTGATTACTTTTTTGCTAAAGACAACTTTAAAATATTTTTTCAAATTGTGATTTTTATATTTAAAGTTTTTTGAAGTTTGCCGAGTCTGATATGTTTCATCAATATTTTTTTTTTTGATTTTTTGTTTTGTAAATGAAAAGCATAATATTTTAGCACAATAAAATCATAAAATTGAAACTTTTAACTTTGTAAGATGAATTTTTTTATAACTCTTAACATGGTTGTAAATATGAAATAAAAATAAAAATGGGTATTAAGTTCACTAAACAATTAATTCCTAAATTAGTTAATTAGTAAAAAATTAAGAAAGATTGATTGTCTGATTTTTAAAATATCACAAAATTTTGTGCCCGTATCAAGCTACAATAATTCCTCAAGTAAAAGTAAGGCCATTGTAAAATCAGATTGCAAAATTAATATATATATGTTATCTTTAAAAAAATTAAAATTAAAATTTTATTTTATTAGTCAGTTTTTTTTACAGCTATATTTGTCAATGCCCTTTTTTATTGTCATTACTATCTGTATTTTATACATCTTAAAATAAACTACGTTGCTATATTTTGAGAGATATAAAGCTAATAAAATTAAATTTAAATTAAAAAGATTTAAAAGGTTTTAAACTCTTTTGTTACTAAGCTTTAGCATTGCATCATTGCTACATGAAGCTTATAAAAGTAATATTAAACGAAAACATTATCGACACATTCCAATCATGAGAAGGGGTGGGTGTCTCCCACCCCTTCTCATGTTTTAGTCAAAATCTAACAAAGTTCAAGTGGTTAAAAATCCTAAACAAATAAGGTTTTTAAAAAATTTACATGTTACAAAAACTAGTAAAAAAAAATACTATTAACAACTATGAAATGAAATGAAACTATGCAAAACTTTTATTTGTATTATTTCTATTGATGCATCTTATTACAGTGTTGTCAATCATTTTAACTGCTACCAATTTTATGCTTGTCATAAGAGTTAAATTGATATGTAAAATTCAATAAGTTACAATTGTTCTAATAAAGAAAAGATTTTTTTTAAATTTATTTAACGTTAAAAGTAGTTTTTATTTATTTGATTAAACATTTCTTTATTTTTCAATTTTCTCTAGGTATTTCATTAAAAATAGTTAAAAAACATGAACAATCAGTGGAAGATATTACTCTCAGTAGCATCAAAGTCAGGTGTAATCAACAGTTAAATATCCATCAAATTTTTAAAAATCAATTTGAAATATTGAACGTGCCAAAAAATCTTACCACACAAATACAAGAAAAAATTTCTTCCGTAATGTTTGACATAATTAAAAATAATAATGGGGATTTAGAGGAACAAGACATACTTGATATGTTTTACAAACCACTTAGCTTCAATGATATTAAAGATTTTAAAAACATTAGGTCGTGTTTTGAAAAACTTTGGAAACCACTCATAATCAATGAAAAGTTTAAAACAGATTTACTAAATCGAATTATACTTTCTTGTTCAAAAGCTTTACAAAAATTCAAAAATAACATGTCAGAAGAATTGTTTGAAAAGTTTATGAATCTAATCAACGACACACAAACTAATTCAATTCAATCTTGTGAAGGAAAAGCTGGCGGAGACTTCTCATCTTTGGACGCGGATAAAATCAACTCGCAACAATGCTCACAGAGCTATTGTAGAGAAATTATAAAAGAGTTAGAAAAACAAAAAGAACAATTAAAAATGATGCCTGACTGTTTAGAAAAGCGAATTTTAAAGTTGATATATTTGATTAAATTGAAAGTTTTACGCAATAACAACATTACGCATTTTTTGATGGAAGAGAAAGAACCAATGAATTTTGACTGTGATATATTGTCTATAAATGATATGCTTTTAATTGAGGGAACCAATTTAAAAAATAAAACATCAGAGTGTTGGATTAAAGCAAAAAGTTTAATTAAAGAAGGTGACTTTATATCAGCTATAGAATGTCTCCAGGTTATGTTTAAACAAATTCAACCACTTAACATTAGAGAAATGATTTTTCTACTGAAAGAATCTCAAAAAACTTATGGTTTGATTGAAAATCAAGATATTATATTGTTATTAGGGATGACTGGGTCTGGTAAAACAGCATGTGTTCATTTTTTTTCAGGTTCTAAAATGATTAAATACAAAAATGAAATTGGACCTGGTGTGTTTGTTGATCATATTGCCGCAGAAGAGCCAATACAAAATGATTTATCAAAATTTGTAATAAGTTGCCAAGCATGTTCTGAAACTAAGCATATAAATCCAATTCAAATTAACTTGAAAGATGTTAATGGCAATTTTATTACACTTTGCGATTCACCTGGATTTAGTGATACTACTGGTCCTGAAGTGGATATAGTCAATAGTATTAATACCACTGAGGTGATCAGTAACTGCAAAAGTGTTCGACCTGTCATTTTAATGAGTTGTGAAAATCAAGGTGGTCGTAGTGAAGGTATTGTTGAAATGGTAGGTATGATTCAGGGTATGATGATGAATATTAAAGACCACTTGCCCGCGTTTACTTATTTGTTTACAAAATATCCTGATGCTGATGTGCACTCCAAACTCTATAACATATCAATAAACATTGATAAGCATCGTTATGCTATGTCTAAGTATGAATACAGTGAATACAAATCATTCAAACTTGTTCTTGATGATATGTTAACAAAAACTAAAAGCTATGGAAAACCACTAGACCTCATTAATGATAAGCCTCTAGATATTTTGAGAAAAATTTTAAGCACACCGTGTATTAATAACCCAAGGCAAGTTTTTAAGTACACAATAAATGAACAATCAAAAAACGCATTATACAAGCAAGTTTATTATAATATATCTGCAATAAAATGTGCTGTTATGAATAATAAATACACTTTGGTAATTTATAAGATCGATGAACTGATATTTTTGTGTGATACTCTAAGATTGAACGATCTAAAGGAAATTTTGAAGGAAACTATTGAATTTGTACGCGCTCATATACAGAAATTTTACGATGATGCCATGGAAAAACTGAACAGTTGCTTGGATAACAACAATAAAGTCACTTATGGTGATCTGGCCTTTTACTTTTCCGAAATTGAAAAATTTAAATGTTTAAATGATTTTAAACATGTAGAGCAGTTAGAAAGCATAAGTGAACTAAGTAATGCATTACTTCAAAACTTGCATTTAAAATGTAAAGAAGAATTAGAAAAATTTAAATCACTTGGCATATATGAAAATGACGACTTAAAATTAATTTTAAACAATTTGAAAATAATGAGCGAAATGTGTAACAATGACTACTATAGCAATGCGTGTCAGTTTATACATAATCAGGTAAGCGTTTTTATTCTCTTTATATTCAAAGTTTTTTTGTTAATAAGGGATTAATTAAAATAATATTTACCAGTGAAAGTCTTGCCACACATTTGTTTTCGAAATCAGTTAGTTTTGTAGTAAATAATTTTATGAAAATAGAATGTTTATTTGTAGAATTAAAAATAAACTTACATTTTTGAAATTCATAAATAGTGAATGTAAAGATAGGTGGAGAGTAAGATTCATTATAAAAGTACATATGCACAAACTAAAAAAAAAAACTATAGTAATGTTTGCTTTTCTAATTTGTCACAATTAACAAATACTTTTTAAAAACTAAATGATTTAGAGTAAATACAAGCTTGAAAAAAATTAAAACAATAAACTTTATATAAACTAAAAAATTAAAAAATAAACTTTATATAAACTATAAAAGTTAAGCTCAAACTATAGTTGTATTTATTCCCCTTTTAAAAATAGTTTTAAAAAAAGAACCCTTAACCCCTCATGATAATTTTTCATAGTTAAAACTCCTCCATTTTCCGGCTCCGTTAAGTAGTTTTCATGTTGTTTTTCTTTTCTCATATACCATATAAATTTTGAGATGCTCTCAGATGATGGTATTAATTAATTGGTAAATCATAGCCAGTGAATTATTTAGAGCCAGTGAATTTTTAAATAATGGTAATTAAGTAATTTTTTAAACTAAAATAAAACACACTACAATACAAAAGATTCAAAAAGGTTTTATCACTTAACACTTTAAAATGACATAAACATAAAATAATGAAAAAATATATATTTTCTTTTTTTGGATTTTACATTTTGTACAATATTATGACTACAAGTTACCGAATAATTCAATTTTTTTTTTAAAATCAACTGACTTTTGCCAAAGGATTAAAAAATTAAAACTTAGTGTTTTTGTAAAGACCAGTTATTATTATCTTTGTATATTTTAATTATATACTCCTTGTGTTTAAACTAAATAATTATTCCTAATTGTGTACCCTGTAATGAGTCTTTTTCTCTTTAAGAAATACACAACTATTTATTTAAAAACTATTTTACTTTCCAAATAAACTTTTCTTGAGCTAAAATGAACATATAATAGAAAACATACAACATGCATTCTCTAAATACCAAAAAAAAAAAAAATTTGTAATACTTACTTCAAACAGCAAAATTTAACACTTAAATAATATTTAATGTAAAGTGCTTCTCACAAAGCATGGACTCTCTTTCTTAAAAATGTGCCTAAATTCTTCCAATTATGCTTGTATGGTTTCAACATCAAAATTTTTATATAACCTTTATTGAGCTATATTTTACAACATATTGAAAGCTGTATTGCCTACCCAACCTATGTTTTGTTGCCACCGTCCTTAAATTCAGGATTGTGTGCATATCATACAATGAAATTATACAGTCTTACTGTGTATAATTATGTAAGTTAAAAACATGGATTGGAAAGACAAAAACACTCTCGAAATATCAAATATAATACTTTTATCTAACATTGATAGATTGAACTAAAACTTATTTTTTTTAAGTCATCTTTTTGTAAAAAAAGTTATAAATATATTGTTAAATAACAGTTATTATTAAGTCAATTACTTATTATTGTTGTTCACTAATTTAAAAAAGGTTATTTTGAAAACTTAAACTTTTTTTTACTTATTATCAATAAATGCTTAACTTCTATTTTAAATTCCTTTAGAATAGAATTAGTTTTATTTTCATCATTTAGTTGAGTGTTCCACAGCTTAGAACCTTGGTTACTAATTAAAAGTTTAGAAGCTGAATAATAAGTTTTAGATCGAATGTTGACGTGTATGAAAATGTGATTTTTTAAAAAGTTGATTAAACAAAATCGCTAAACTTTTAAAGTTAAGAAGATATATTTACGATAAAGGTTACTGTATATAAGTTTAGAATATTGTTTTCATTTAGTACTGTTAGAGTATGAGAAAAACAATATACATTATTTTCAGAAGTGAGGCATTCAATGTGTAATGAAAATATTATTACCTTGTCTAAAATCCGAGCAGAAAATATTGTTAAAACATACAGTTGCGTGCAAAAATAACAGGACAAGAACATAACTTGAGATTTAATAAATTTTCTTCAAATTTTCACTAAAACGTCAAAAAATTACCAATCTAAAAAAAAATGAGTTTTTATCAAATGTAAAAGCAATCAAATGTAAAAGCAAAATTTAATTAAAATTTGCGCGTGCAAAAGTATTCAGGCAGAAAAAATAAATTGAAATTAAAAATGTTTTATTTTAATGTAAATTGCTTTAGTTCATTGTCAAGAAGCCCTAAGCATTAGTTACTACTTGACAGTGACAAGGCATTGAGTCTACCAGCTTCATAATCAAAACAATTTTGATTTTTCCTAATTCTTGTTTCAGAATATTCATTAAATAAAATTTACTTGTTGGGTTTTATTGTGAAATATGTTAATAAAAGTGTTTCCATTGATGTTCAATAGCATTAAGGTCAGGACTTTGCTATGGTCATTCCATTTATTAAACTTTTTTGTTTTTCAAAATGTCTTTTACAAGGGTTAACGTGTTTCTTGGCTCATTAACATGCTGAAATATCCATACTCAAGCCATGAAAAATGATCCACGCAAAATGCAGTCTTGGTAAATGCTGAAATTAAAGAACTTTATAATGTAAAATGCAGAGTTGACACAATCAAACATTTTTTGAGGTCTGCAAACCTGTTTGGAAGACATCCGACAAAGAAACTTTTTATTTATATCAAGAATTGAAAAATCACAGTATTCTTGCCCAAACCAAATGTTCATTAGCAAATTAACATTTGCTAATGAACATTTGATTTGGGCAAGAATACAGTGATTGGAAGTACTTTTTATATAAAGTTATAAACAAATATAGTGTCAATACAGTATAGTTTGCAATGAATAAAAGTTCCTTTAATTTTTATTATATTAAACTTTTACTAAAATTCTTGACTGGGCCGCGTAGGCGATATCTAAACAACAAAACCTTTTAATTAAAAACGTTTTCAGATTCGGAATCAGCATTTTGTATGTAAATAACAAATTTTTATTTCGGCCGAAAATTAAGTTTTTTAGACTACTGTGTAACATTGGAAAAAACTTGTTCATCAAGATAAAAAAAAGAGGAAATAATTTATGATGCTGAAAGTTTTTGCAACTTTAGTTTAATTCAATCTTCACATTGATATTGTTATTGAAATTTGAAGCTAGGCTATAGAATACTTATTTATCATTTTAGTCTTTTAGCTTTGTAAAAACTAAAACAAATCTATAGCAATAAAATAAAAATTTGTTTTAATATTTTAAATTTTAACTTAAATTGATTTTTTCTCAAAATGTCATTTTTTATCATGCAGCAATAAATAACTTGAATAACTAATTGTCATGGTGCATTGAAACTTTAAACAGTTGCTGCAATATAAAATAAAAACTCATTGAACTAATATATTTTTTATTATTATTCTGGAGCAGAGTTATGGGGTTTTAAAGAGAGCTGTTTTGAGAGAAATATGGCCAATCAGTATGAGCTTATAACTAACCTCACGGTTTTGCTTCAATTAGTATCTTTTTTATTATAAGTAAACACTGAATGTTTTAGCTTTTATAAGATGTGTCATTATTTCAATACCTATCAATAAACTTCTTGATTTTTTTAGGGTTGGCAACATAAAATACGTCTCTTAATGTGAAATCCTGATTTCAATTCTTATTTTATTTTTAATGAAATTTTTTTAATATTATTTCAAAACAAAGTCAATAAAATTTGTTAAAATATGTCGATTTTTTAAAATTAATTGCCTTTGTTGTAGTTGTTAAATAGATGGGTTTTTTTTTGGCCGACCTTAAACGATTGGCTTATCTCGCTATATTGTCAGAAGATTCTGTTCGATTAGCGTTTGTTGTTTGATTGCCCGAGGATTTGTCATCCAGATTTCAAGCTGTTATGGATCCAATTGATGTTATGTTACCTAATGTAAGAGCTTCTTGATGTCGTGTATGGGTAGATCATGTTGTTGGTGCTGCAAAATGCTTAAAGAAACCTGGCTACAAATGCTTAAAGACGAAGGGAAACAAGGGCAGGAGCGAATTGTGTGTGCTACCTTGCTCCTTAATAATAGTAGAATTAGCGCATTCTCTACTGTTCATCTAAAAGTTAATGGTATGTTACCGAAAGCGATGGCAGACGCGGGATGTTCAAAGACAATTATAAATCAAAAGCTGTTGTCAAGAAATCGAAATAAATCCCAGAATTCTCCAATGGTAGTAACTTTTGATGGTAAAATTCATCAATGTAATCGATCAGTGGTTGTCACTCTAAATGTTAATGGTATCCAAGTACAAGACGAAGTTATTTAAATGGATATTCAATCGTTTGGAGTTGAAATGATTTTTGGAATAAGTTCCATTAAATTTCTAGGAGGAATTTTTATTTACCCGTCTGGAATAGCAAAGTTTGGGTTCGGCTTGTTTGGAATGGCAGTCTCAAAAAAAGATAAAGTCAATCAAATTGAAATTAAAAAACAAGATTATGAAGCAATATTTAATGGTGTCAAATGGGAAGTTAAATAGAAATGGAGAGATGGAGAAGGCCCCAATCAGTTTGTTAACAAATTTGCTCAATACATCATATCAAAATATGCAGGAGCAGAATATGAAAGCGAACTACGGTATTGGATCAATTGTAAATAGTTAATTGAATATGACGAAAATAAGATACGACCACCCAAAGGGCAAATTCCCGTAATGGCTGTTATCCAACGTAACAAAGATAATCAATTCAAACCCTTTTTGGACTGGAGAGAAGTTAACAGTTTTATTGAAACGTATACAAGAGATGCAGATGTGTGTGTTGAGAAGCTGAGGAAATAGAGAAGAATGGGAAAAAAACCAGCAATTATTGGTTTACGCAAAGCTTACCTCCAATTAAAAACTAAGAAATCTCTTTTTTTTGGCCATTTCAAACAGTGGTTTTTCAAAGCAAAAGGTTATGTTTAACAATAATTGGTTTTGGATTGAATGTTATTGCAATGATTATGAAATCTGCTGTGAGTGCTATTATTAATCAAGACGAATTGGTGAAGATGAAAACACTTCATTTGTTTACACAAATGTAGTGTTTAAAAATGGTGATAAAGTTTGAACCACCAAATGCAAAGTGCCATACTAAGTGGCAGCCAGATAAACTATCCGGAATTATTTTGAAACAAGTTGTTTAAGTTAATGGCGTTCCGCATCACGTAAAACATATCCGATATGGATACAAAACTCAATAATGCAATATTCCTAAAGTGAACGCAGACTGTGGTCAAGATAACGCGTATTTTTTAAAGAAGAAAAAGATTCTTTTATTGGATTAAGTTGTGGCGTGTATACTGGCAGATATTTAATAGCTATACCATGAAAGGCTAGTGTTTTCCTAACAAAAAGACTCGAGTAAAATTTACAATTGTCTATAACAAGCACCGGCGCTTTCACATTTGTATTTCTAATAGTACAAAATGAATCTGCATTCCAGCCTCCAGTTTTTGTTTCATGAGCAAGCACTCCCATTTTTGAAACAACACAAATTAAACTAACATTCTTACCATGATTTGCAGGTGACTGTAAAATTGCTGGCGTACCTCTTAGCAAATAACTATATGCGCTGTTAGTGTGCACATTAAATCTAGTTTTATTCAAATAAATAAGTTTTTCATCTGAAATTTTGCTTGCATATGCATAGCGTGCATTAATAACTCGTGTTGAGTTTTGTCCTTCTGGCACATTCACAACACTTTTTCTTAATAAATCCGAGCGTTTGAGTTTTCTTAAAATAGTAGGCTGAGACATGTTGAAGCCTGCTGGAGAAAGATTTTTTTTAATTGCTTCTTTTGTGCAAAGATTGTTTTCTTGTACGCATAAATCAATAATATTTTTTTTTTGAGAGTTTATAGGTCTTTACCTCTTTTTATCAGAAAATGACTTGAATGCAGTTATGTCGTCTAATTATTCTCTGTTTAACTTACCGACAAGATTTTGAACTGTGCGCTTCGATAAATTAAGAGAAGTGGAAATGCTTGTTGTAGATTGATTTCTTTCAATTAAATGCTTAAGCACTTCACTGTGCTCTTTTGTAACATTTTTCCTTGTTTTACGATTGATACTGCTATTTTCTATTCGATCCATAGGGATGTAAATTTGATGTTAATAATAATTATAAATAATTAAACTTAAATCTAGATAAATGAATAATTATATAAATAATAATTTAATCAATCAAGAAATTTATTAATAAAATTACGAAGAACTAAATACTAAATTAAGTAAACTATCGTCGAAAACAAAGAACTGATACCAAATTAAATAAACCATCATCGAATGTATAAAGTCTTTGTTTTAAGTATTTTTAACCTCGAAATAAAAACCGGGAAATAAAAAAATTATTATTTTGAACAAATAAACTGTTTTTTCAAAACAATTTGTTTAAATGATTTTTTTTTTTTTTTTTGTTCAAATTGCTTTTTTTTATGTATATATATATATATATATATATATATATATATATATATATATATATATATATATATATATATATATATATATATATATATATATATATACACAGCAAAATCCATGATTCTTGTTTTAAGCAAAAAAAGTCTTAAAACAAGAAAAAAAGTTTAATTCTTAAAATATGAATTTTTTTTCTTGTTTCAAGAATTTATATTCTAATAAAGAGCTTTTTTTCTTGTTTCGATAATATTTTTGCACAAATTAAGACTTTTGTTTGAAAAAATATTTATACATTTAAACAACTCTCATTGTTAAAATAACACTTGTTGTTCTTTGAATGTCCAGTTATTGGCTGTGCTTGTATAGACAATACTCCTCCCATAGGTTACTCGTCTGATTCAAGCAAGTTTTTGTCGAACTTTCGTCTTTAAATAAAATATAATTAATAATTGTATATGCTGTCATGGCATGGGCGTCATATTCCATATCCATGACATAGTGTATTCCGATAAGACCTATCACGGCGTCAGAAAATGAAAAACTGCGTAAAATTATCTTTTCGCCACACATAACGATCGCATTTTCTCCATCATCTGTTATGTACAGATAAGGACTTTTTATCTGAAAATAAATTTAACAAACTCAAATCTAAGTTCAATTTAATGTTTCCTAAAATTTAACAATAATATTTTTTTATATCTAAAAGTTAGGAATCTTTTCTTTTATATATATATTTATATATATATATATATATATATATATATATATATATATATATATATATATATATATATATATATATATATATATATATATATATATATATATATATATATATATATATATACATATATATATATATATATATATATATATATATATATATATATATATATATATATATATATATATATATATATATTCAAGTGTTTTCAAAAGATTATATTAACTTACAGCTTTATCCAAAACAGTATGTCCAGTTTTTTTTTTTTTTTTTTTAGAATTTTTAACAGGAAATACCTGCTGTAAGTACTTTATTAAGTGCTTAACTTTAGTATCTAAAAACACATTCATTATTTTAGTTGTTAAATGATTTCAATACATTATTGTACTAAACCCTAATCAATCAAAATTCTTAAAGTGCTTGAGGTTGGCGAATTTTTGCTGACCTTCTTTTTAACTTTTATTGTAAAACCTTTGTAAAAATGGTTTTATGTTTGCTAATTGTAATCTGATGCTGATCTAAAGCAGTTTAAGGTCGGTAATTTATTACCCACTTTAGTTTTCCTAATTTAATAGGTTGTGTATGCATGCACACTCACCTATATTTGCTTTGGATGGCGGTGGTAGAGGAACTACTAACTTGTGTATTCCGTAAAATAAAAGCATGTCAATTTCTTCAGCTAAGCTGAGTCTCGCTGAGTCAACTGTGACAGCAGACTTTAATAAACGAGCTACTTCGCCAACAATCTGAATTAAATAATATTAATTAAATAAAAAAAATAAAAGCATACAAACAATTTTAAAAAGCAGAGAAAACTTTTAGAATAATCCATTAGAACATGGCAGTTTGAAAAAAGTATCTATTCGCTTAAAAAAGGATTTTAAACTTTGAAAGAATTTTGCTTTTTTTCCCAATAAAAATATGAAATTACAAATGAAAAAAAAACTTACGGCAGTCACATTAGAGAAACATGGATATTTCTCAAAAACTGTTGTAATTCCAGCAATTCTGTCAACTGGACATTTGTTTACCCAAGTCCTTCTTTGAGTAAATGTAGCATCCAGGCATGATGCAACTATATTCATGTCAATATTTTTTTTACACCATTCTTGTTGAAGTACAGCATCAAGTTGTAAAACCATTTCATCAGTGTTTTTTTCTGTAACAGGTTTAAAATAAATAATAGAAACCTACTTTATAGTAATAATGTAACAGATTAAAAATTAACAATAGAACCTATTATATAATAATAATTTAATAATTGTAAATAATAAAAATACTATATTACATACTGTAATAAATTTGCAGCCCTTCAAATTAGTAAAAATCAAGTCAGGAAAAAATTAAACAATATTGAAATTATCTTATTCCAGACATCTGCATTCATAGCAAGCATAGAAGTATCATTTTATGAATTTAATTCTTAGAAAATATATTATTTTTACACTATAATGTAAAACTAATATATTTTCTAAGAATTGAAAAAAGATAAAAAATCACCCCAGGATAAAAAACATATGTTTTTTTATCCTGGGGTTATTTATAAGAGTTAAACCCATATCCGACTGTGATCTGAGTTAACAGTGTGTATAAAAAAAGTAAACTTCAATGTATGCTAAACAAATATAACATAAACATATGGGAAATAACTTACCTGACAACAATGAAAATGTGGATGGTTTGTCAATAAGAGTTTCATTACATGGCTCCTACAATCAATAAAAATCATAGGTTTTATAAAAATTAGGTAAGGTATTATTAATAGGATAAAAAGAACTCTATATGTTAGCTATGTAACATGAACTTACTTTTGACAGGTGGTGATGAACTTAATTCACTCACACTCTGACCTGAATTATAAAAGTAAATATTTTTAAAACTTAGATTTTAACTAGCGCATTTCTCAGATAGGAGTTATATATTTGGGAATGTTTAAATAAAATGGAGCACCTAATGGTCCTTAGCCAATGGCTATCATTTTATTGATGGCATTGCGGAAAAAATACCTGTCCTGATCTGTATATTTTATTGTGTAAAACTAGAGGGTGTAACTTTGGAGAGCATCTAGTTGTAAATATTAAATAGTAAATAATCATGTGCAAGAACCACAAATAAACAATAAAAATAAAAACATACTTGATGAAAAATCAACATCAGTTTCACCTCCATTTTCCAGGGTCGTTTTTATCAAACTTTTAATCCGTTTATTTTGTATTGGTTTTTCATTATAAAACCTTTTCCTTAACTTGTTGAACAATGTAATCTAAAAAGCAAAAACAAAATATTAACCTTTACATTTAATGTTTCAGATATCTCTCAGTTGTCTTTGTTTTTGTAGCATAAATAATATGAAAATGTATGTGAACGTGATTTACATTTTGCAAGATCAAAACTGATTTCTTCCCTTCTTTAAATTGAATTAAAAGTGTTATTAAATAGAATCAATTATTATCTTCTGTAACAAATTCACTAAAAAAAAATTAAAAAAAGATTATATGTTTTGATGTCTTGTCATTCAGGCAAGGGTATTTAATAACTAAAGACTTTGACATTTCTAAAAGGTCTTGTCTTGTTGGATACTGATTCATCAATAAGGCATGTGCATTCATTATTGTGATTGTACCACTGACCATCCGGTTATATAGCTCACTACTTATAAAATTTTTGCAGATGCATTTGCAAATTCCAGATCATGATATATTGGATATGATGATCCGATGTATTGTGACTGCTCTAGCTGTAAAATTTTATTTGTAGTAGTATAAATCAAACTGTTATTTTAATTGGACACTTAAATACTTCGATTAAACATTGACAAAGTTAAACATTAACTAAAAAATATTTTCAAACACCAAATGCTTCCAAAAAAAAAAAAAAAAATCACTTTTAAGAAAAATGCTTAAGAAAAAAAAAATTAAATTAAGAAGAGAAATAATATGAATTAAAAAATTAATATTTTTTATAAATATAAAGTATATTAAACCTTGTACTTGTCAAGTATAGCATTATTATTCATGTCAATATCATTGTTATTGTCATCATCAACATCTTTAATTAGTCTTTTTGATGTTACGTCATTAGTTCTAATAAAAGCATTTTTAAAGCATAGCATTATCACATATATTAACAGATATTTAAAAAATACTTAGTTACTGTTTCTCAAGGGTAAAAACAATAACAGCGCATCCCTTAAGATACAATGTTAGGTGAATATTATTTACCTCATTTCTGCATAAACACTTTGAGAACAAGTCTGATTATTGTTCTGATATATGTCTTCTTTAGACAATACAACATCAATTAACTGAACAAAAATAAAAATATATAAATAAAAATATTCTTATAGAAATGTGAATTTCAAAATAATGTGTCAAAGCAAATTAATTCTAAAAAAATATTATAAACTGTTACTGAAGTATCAGATGTTATATTCTCATGAAAATCAGCGTCTGATATGTTTAACTCAAGTAAAAAAAAAAAATATTTAAATCAGTCATGTTTTTTTTTTTATTAGTTGTTTATTCAACATTCGATCTATTAAAGCTTCTTAATACAAAACACAGATTGGGAAAATGTCATTCATGAATAATTTAATTTGCAAAATACACTGCATGTTGCTAATTAACGCATGTATATGTACCTCATGCATAACCTTTTTTAACTCGGTTTGAATGAGCTTCCATAACTTTGCCCTTAAAAGTATTTGAGTTTTTAAAGGAAAAAGTTCACTTAAGGTTTCGTAAATAATCTCTGAAAAATCACGATCATCTACAATTCCTGCATCTAAAAAAAAATGAATGTTCATAAAAAATAATAAAATAATATCAATGATAAAAAAACAACATTTATTTGTTAATTTTAAAACAACAGAATGACCCAAAAGCCACTAATACTTAAGTATACATCAGAGAATTTTCTACTGCAATATTTCAATTGTATTAAGTGTTAGTATAAGTTTAAACGAAATTCTATCAAATAGAACATAGTATGAGATGTTTTTTAAACATGGAGATAAATGGTGCAGATTTTGCGATAAATTATTCCACGAATTAACATTCAACAAAAGAAATACTTGGTGCTGTTAAAATAACAATGGAGCTTTTATAGTTTAAAGTTATGACCACGATTACCTAAGTAACAATTCAGAATAAAAATGATAGGTCAGTGTCCAGTTTATCATTAAGAACATTTTAACATAAAACTAAATCCTTAAACCTTCAACGGTGTTCTGTATATTGAGCTTTAGTATGGTTATGTATTCCCTGGTTTTCTAAATTTTAAAAACTTATTCCTTTGGGTGTTATTATTGCAGGGTTTGAAACCTGCACTAGAAATCACAGCAATGAGCATGTTCTAGTTTTTTTAACGGAAAAAAATATTTACTTACATTTATCAATTCGCTTACCTCTAAAATGACTAATGTATCCTGGAAATTCATCACGAACTTTATTAAAGATTGTTTTCATCCTATTAACAATTAACAACAAGACCAAACAAGTTAACAACGACCATGTATTTATGAAAGACGCGATATTTTTTTTTTAAATTTTTCTTATAATTGTTTTTTTTTTAAACGTTTTATCACGTGTTGCTTAATCATATACACTGAAGCATTGTAAAATAAAAATGGAATATATCAACACGGAAGTTGAAGTCCATGTATATACAAGACTTGGCTGTCTTGTATAAACATCGAAAATAAGGCCAAGTAGGGGAGAAAGGAGGGGGGGGGAGTGATTGAATATAGTGAACGGTGAACGGGAAAAAAAGATTTAAGAGGATTTTTAAAAACAATTAATAAAGGTGGCAATTTTTTAACTTGATTTATGATTTTAATGAACTGAGCTAAATCTTTAAAATTAAATTTTATATACTTTTTATTCTCAATAACAAATTTATAAGCTACACAATTAACAAAAAAATAATAGACAAAAAAGATAATCTCAGTAAAATCTACATCATCTACTAATGGGTTTCAGTTAAAAAAAACGTGTATTTTTTAAATGAATGTATTTGCCAAAAAAAAATAATTTACAATGGTAGAATAAAAAACAAGTTTTTATACAACTAGGGCTAGAAAAAGACAAACTTTGTCTTGATGCCAGGACTAACCGGTATCGGTGATGGATACAGCGGTGAAGGAATGTATTCCCTCTTCAAAATAAAATTAAGGTTTAAATTTTAGCATTATTTCTTCAACAGCGTGCCGAAGCAATATTGTAGAGTCTACATCAAGACCGTAGTTAGGCACTATCTCATACTCCCGAAAAAAGGTAGAGGAAGCGAATTTTTTACGAAAAATTTACCTCATATACGAGGTGAATTTCTTAAATAACTCGCTTTCCTCCTCCTTCTCTTTTGGAGAGTTTGAAAGTTATGCAAAATTAAAGGTTTTCAACATTTTAAGGCCCTAATTTATGGCTAAATGAGGGGGTTGTGGTAGTTACGGCACTGGCCTGCAAACATTCCTTGATCCGTCGCTAAGCAGTATATTTGTATTTGTTTTATTCTTTTATTATAAAGAAATACATAATTTTTTAGCACTTCAAGCCAAATCGCACTTTTGCATGTTTTCACATTCCGAATTTAATGATTTTTTATTTGATATACCTATTAAAAGGAAGGGCTTTTAATATATATATATATATATATATATATATATATATATATATATATATATATATATATATATATTTCTTAACCTAGAATCTTGAATTTTGCTGTGTATATATATATATATATATATATATATATATATATATATATATATATATATTTCTTAACCTAGAATCTTGAATTTTGCTGTGTATATATATATATATATATATATATATATATATATATATATATATATATATATATATATATATATATATATATCAAGATACACAGAACAAGCAAGCGTTTTTAAAAATCATCAGAAATAACATTTTCTATTTTTACTAAAACTAGTAATACATCTTTGCTTCAAAAGTCTTCTTTCAAAAAACAATGCTGTTTTTTTGTTTTTTGCAACTTATACAAAAAGATGGTTCTATTGCCACATTTTCAATTTAACTTTACAGCTAGCGAACTATTATTATTAAATAAACTCAATAGATTTTGATTAAAAAAACTTTATAAAATTGAACTGTAGTCAAAAATCAGAACTATATTCAGCAACTTTTTATGTCCTAGTAACGCTGACTCCTTTTAAGAGCATCTTTTCTCAGATTAGGTTGATAATGCGTACACAAAAAGCTTCAATGTCTGATTTGGTGCTCTAAACTCAATTACTGCTATAAACCGTTTTTTTATTTTTTCACAGAGCACCACAGAAGTGCATTTAACCAGAAAGTTAACGCCTCCTTCATTGCCGTGACGTGAAATTTGTTCAAAGCTCGTTTCAAACCTTGATCTCCTGCTTATAAAGCAAAGGCTCTAACGACTGCACCACGGACGCATAGTTATTATCGCATCTTTCAGTTGTTTATTTTTATGCATAATTAGGGCAAAGGCGCTTATGATGGCATAGCGCCTATGATGGCATACCGGTCATATTTTCATAAATATTGGTTATGGCAAAAAAGTGATTAGACCAACATGCTTATACTGGCTTTACATTAGTTTAGTAAGAATACGTCCCTTATGCACAAATATTGCTTTCAAAATCAAGAAAAATAGATTTTGGAATGTGCTGTTGTATTTTTTATCCCATTCAATATTTAATATTGTGATTTTAATATTAATTGTACAGAAATAAAATTTTTATGCATTTTATTTCCTTGTTTTGTGCATTAATTGGAGTACTTACATTAATTTTATCCTTTGAACAATGCAGACACAGCTTGTTTAAATGAAAAATGATGACTTCTTCCTATGATGGCATACTGACGAGTTAGGTGTGTTGCATTACTGAGGAGTGGAGAAAACCTTTTTTTTCCATAAAACAACATACTTGTTATTGAAGTAAAAAGGAATTCATACTTAACTAAAAAACTTATGATTCAAAAAATACATATAACGCAATATCTCTAATGCACATGCGCAAAATTTGATACTGCTGTTGTGTAGCACAAAAAGGTTAATTAGGATGATTACGCTTAGTTTCTGGAATTTCTGAGGGAATACTCTTAGGTCACATGAACTTGTCAAGTTACCCTTGAAAAGTGTTAAAGTCAACTTTTAAAAATAAAGTGTTGACATCAACTTTTATTGCCCTCCCCCTCCCTCTTGTTAACACGTCAAAAAAATTCACACCCTCCCTCACCCCTATTTTGTTGACGTAATTAATAGACAGCCCAAAAGCTGTAATATTATACAACAAAAAGAAGTGACTTTTTATTATTATTTTTTTTAATTAACCAGTTTTCTGTTTAACTTTTATTAAAAATACCTTTTTGAAAGAAAAAATATACTTTTTATTACTTTTTTTGTCTATGTAAACAAAAATGTTTCTTGTTGTTATTGTTAATATTGTAGTTTGATACACTATTTAAAACTGTTTAGGTTAAACAGATCAAAGCCAATTTTGAAAGCAGCCTGGATATAAATGACTTTAATACTTCTGCAAAACAACTTTTGCTCTTTAAGAACATGTTTATGAAGTTTAGTGGTTACAAAGGTTTGGAAATGCTAGTTACTACAAACAAAACTGTTAAATATCTAGTTACATTAAAACTGAAAAATTTGTCAGAAAGTTGTGATAACTTATTTGCTCAAAAAGGTTTAACCGATCAAGATTTCTCTTGTATAAACAATTCCCTCCAAAATCTTAAGAATGCTAAAGACAATAAACTTTTGTGTAGACTTTTTTCCAAAAAAGAAATAGAAAAATACTACAAAGTTTTTTTAATCAAAATAGTTCAATTTTTTGAGAACTTGAATAATGAAATCAAAAATTTTTTAGAAAAGCAAAAATTCAAAGAAATGGAACAAATCTACAAGCAAATACAATTAGTACGCCAAATTCAGTATGTTAAGCAAAACACTACTAGCTTGTACCACTCAACAGTTGAAAAAATTAAAATTTCTGTGCAGAAATTGTTTGATGACACAAAAAAACTCTTAGAAAACATGAACAATGGTATTATTGACTATAATATCTTATTTTCTAATCTTAACTATCTTAAAGATGCAATGTGGATAAATGTAAATAAATATGAAAGTTACGAAGATGTCATACAAGTTGTTCAAAGCAAATTAACCAGCAAAGCGCATAACCTATATGAAATCATATATACAACCAATTTGGAACTTTCTAACTATTCAAATCTAGAAAAAATTGACAAAGTGCTGCAGCAGTTGAATGAGTTGAAACAATTTCAAAATATTGTTCCAGCATTCCAAACAGAATGTGATCAAGCGTTCAAACATGTTGAAAATCTGGTTGAAGAAAGTCTTGCTGAAATCAAGAGGATATTTTATTTGGAAAAACATAGCGTGAAAAAGAAAAAAATCAAGCTGATGGGTTTTAAAATAGAACGTCTAATAAAGCAGTCAAACCTCTTACAATTAGGGCTCGGTTCAATAGAAAAAACGGAGGAGGAAATTATAAAAATCATAAAGAGTATTATTGACATCAGCAAAAATATTGAACAACTCAAAATTGAACAAGAACCGTATGCAAGTGTTCTAAGTGAAATCAATCCCAAGGACAATAAACCTATTAAATTAAAAAAACTTCAAACGTCAAATAATATCCAAAGCATCGACGAACTTTATAGTAAGTATAATGAAAATAAAAGTAAAATAAGCAACGCAGAAATTAACATTGATCAAAATAAGCATCAAAATGATGATCTTGAGATAATTAAATTAAAGATTAATGAAATATTAAGTAGAGGTCTAGCATTTGAGGAACTTAATGAATATATTACAAAATCAAAGCACTATAATACTACAAGTTTAAACAGCAAAATCACAGAGCTTGAAAAAAAAATTAATTTTGCCGAACTAAATGGTCTTGAGTTCATTTTTAAAAGCATTCTTTACACAACAGCAGAGAATGTATTAAACTATTTAGACTTGTGTCTTTCATTAAAACATTTTAACAAGGAAGTAACTAGTTATAAAAAAGAAGTTGAAACATTTTTAATCAAGTACAAAGAGTTTATTATATTTGAAATGAATATTTTCCTGAAACAAATACAGTCGCTAACTGCGGCTAACTCTTTTTTAGCACATAACTTAGCACAGAAAATTAAGTTTCAACTTGATGAATGCGTCACAATACAAAATTTTAAACTGTTAAACAAATTAATGCAATGTCAGCGCATTAAAAAAGATATGACTGATAAATTGTTAAAATATCATACAAGTTTAAATCAACCTGGTGATGAAAATTTAAAAACTGAAATGTTTCAAGCTTTTATTCAATTTGAAAAATATTCTGAAAATGTCAGTTATTGTCAATTTTATAATGATTATTTAAAAAACAAAGAAATAGAGTTTAATGATTTTGAAAAAAAAATCTTAAAGTTTATTGAAAATTATAAATATGTTATGGCAGCTATGAAACTTAAAGAAATTGATGAAAAAGTTTTAAAACCTAATACAGTTAATAATATAAAACTTAACTTGTCTAAATCAATAAATAACGTAATAAATACAACTAAACAGTATTTAAAAACAATAGAAAATAATTTAGATGAAAAAGAATTTAAATACATAGCAAAACAGTTATTAATATTGAACAATGCTAAAATGCATTTGTACAACGACCATTCACTTCAAGAAAAATATAAATTAAATAGCTATATTGATGAAAAGACAGATCTTATCAATACTTTCAAATTTATTGAAAATGAAGTAAATAGAAAAGTAAAAAAATATGCAGAAAGCATAAACTTAAGCATTATCAACGATGATTTTTATGAAGCCGAACTTAAGATCAATCATTTAAAGTCAATTTGTAAATTGCTTACCAACTATTGCAATATTGATGAAATAAATTCTGTTATACAAACAACGCAAAAAAACATTGAAGACAGATTAGATTTAGTAACAGAAAAGTATGAAAATTTGCAGATGAATGACTTTTTCCAGAATATACCAAAAAAAATAATAAATAAGATAGATAAATTTGTAAAGCTTAAAAACGACAAAAAATACGAAGAATCATTGAGTAAATTTAAAAAGACTATTGCAAACAAAATTATCCAAGCTCTTTGCAAAATTAAAGAAGTAAGACTAGGTGAGCGTAGCGTTATGATGGAACATATAAAATCTATTCTTACCTTGATGCCTACCGATATAGAAATTTATTTGAAATCAGAGTGGCAGAAAGTTCAAAATGATATCAACCAAGAATACGAAGAATTTAAGAATGAATGCAACCAAATTAAATATACGTCTGATGTAAACTTAATTAATAAACTCTTGAAAAAATGCAAACGCAATGGTTTAAATAGTTTTATTGGTTCAATACAAAGCACTATAATTACTCAGTTTAACGAATGTAATCATAATTTATCAAAATATCTGGAAGAAAATGATGTCGGCAATGGGTTGCTAGAATTTAGAAAATGTTTGCAATACATGCAAATATTTGGAAAGAAACTAGTTGAGCTAAACAATATTTTTAGAACAATGGAAAGTAGTTTAAGAGATAAATTTAACAACATATGTTTGACTTTATCTGACATTTCAAGTAACAGTGAAGTTGAATATACAATCACTTGTTTTAATAATTTAAATCTTTTTATCAAACTTAAAACTGAATATCAGAACATGTCTAGTCTAAGCAACTTGATCAACTATGCAGTAAATGGGCAGGTCAGACCTTATGAAAACATAGCTGATTTTTTTATCAAAATTCAATTAAACTGTCAAAATTCTCTCAAGGAACTAAACATTACAAAAATAAATGAATCAATGAATGCTTCTAAAAAATGGAACAACCTTTTAGTTTCTGCAAAAAAATACTACCGTAAAAACGCAGACACAGAAAAAATTTCTGAGATTCTGCCAAAAATTGAGAGTTGTGTTCTTTACGATGAATGGGTTAAAACCTTTTCAACTATACTTAAAACTTACAAGGTCGAAATTTTTAATTTCAAACTTGTCAAAAGTTATAAAATAGATCAAGAACATTTTTACAGTGATTTTGTTAAATCAGTTTCATTTTTACATCACTCAAAAAAACTGAGCATTCATATAGACGATAGTATATTTAAGCCAAGTTCATATGAAAATGAAATATTTCCAATTTTAAACAATTATTTTCAAAAAGTTGTTGAGTCAACCAAAAATTTTTTTTGTGAGGATAACTCTGATAAAACTAAGCAAGAGTTTGACATATTTCGGTTTAACTTAAAAAATATTAAATTATTTGAAACACACTTTAAGTCTGTAGGAATAAACTTTAATTTGTCATCTGTTGAAAATGAAATTGTAGAAAAGTTAAAGCAAACTTTAAACTACTATTTTGAGATGATTGATAAAGCTGATAGTGATATTTGTAAAAAAGCAAAGTGGCTAATAAAAATAAAAACGTTCGCCATTAATTTACCTGAGTATACCGAATATATAAACAATAGATTAAATACCTTTTTTAAAGATTACTACAAAAAAAAGAAAGACCGCAAAACAGAATTACCAAAGTTGGCTATAGCTTTGGAACAAGATCCAAATAACGTAGGTTTTAACATTATATCAGAGCATTCCGTTTTTAAAGGAAAAATTGTATCAAATTTTAACAAAAATGCTAATCGTACTATAGATTATGTTTTAAATGCACTTCAAGGAAACTATATAAACGATGAAAGTATTCAACAGCTTCGAGGTTTTTATGATGTATTCTCTAATGATTATACGGATGTAGTAAAGGAATACCTTAATCAAAAGGGTAATAAAAATGGGTTTAACAAACTAATAAAGTTAATAAAATTAGACGGAGAAAAAGTTTTTAGAAATATATTTGAAAGAAAAGGTTGGAAAAAAAATCATAAAAAAAAGTTATGTCAACTTGTAGCAAAAATATTTGCGTTGTGGACATTACAAAACACTGAGTATTATAATGAATTGGATGGTCTTGAAAAGTGTAAATCATACTTAATGAAACCGCACCCAAGTCAGGTTATTTCTGTTTTTTGTATATTAGGACTTGACATCATTGAAGGCACTTATACGATCAATAAAGTGTTTCAAAACAGTTTGGTGCAAGTCGGAACAGGTGAAGGAAAGTCATTAATTCTTGCAGTTGTATCCTGTGTTTTAAGTCTTATTGGTTTCGATGTGAGCTGTGCTTGCTACAGTAATTGTTTAAGCTCTCGTGACTACAAATCTTTCTTTAAACTGTTTTCCTCTCTTAGTTTAACAAGTCATATTAAATATGCAACCTTTTTTTCCATATGCGAAGATATTATGAATCAAAACTTTAACATTCGCAAGCATGTTTCTGATTTAGTTTTTAATAAACTAAATACAAAAGTTTGTTCACAAAAAAAAAAGGCAAGACCTGACATATTGTTAATTGACGAAGTAGATGTTTTTTTTAACAAAACTTTTTACGGTCAGTTATATAATCAAGTGGTGACAATCAAGCATTCTTCCATTAATGATCTGACCAGCTATATTTGGTCTGAGAGATATAAAAGGCCGACGCTTGAACAAGTTAAGTTGACAACCGAGTATCAAAAATGCTGCAAATTTTTTGAAGGCTGGGAATTTATAGTTACAGAAGCTGTAAAGCAAATGCTATTTGATGTCATAAATTTTAAGGTAAACAAATAAATTTTTTTTATTTTTTTTTATTTTTTGAGTAACGTGTAATAACTATTGTATTAATTTTATTAACAAGCAAATGTAAACTATAATATAAATAATTAATAATATTTAGGTAACATTTTTGAAACTTTTTTTGTAAAAATGGAAAAAGTTTAAGTTTTAAACTACTTTAAACACTTTTTACACATATTTCTTAAAATGCTATTGTATTTAGTATTTGACTAATGAACAAAGTACATATGGTAATATCTGAAAAAAGAGTTTATTTTAACTTATATATTATTGAAATTTTTAATATTAATAATCAAGCTGTAAGCAAAGTTGCAAAACAGACATTAACGAAAAATTTGTTTGCCGATGGTCGGCAACTGACGTCGCCACAACAATTTGGAAGACGGCGCATTGTCGCAGCCAAACGTTAGGCTAACGTTGGCCCAACTTCGACATCCGACGTTGGGCGAGCGTCGCATTCTAACGTTGGTTTAACGTAATATTATTATATATAAGAACCTTTTAAATTTTGATTCGTTTGGCAAAAAAGTGCTGACTATTTTTGATGTAATGTTTATTAAAACTATACCATTGATTTTTTTTTTCTTCAAAAAAGTTTCAATAGTATTTTTTGCGATAAACGAGAATTGATTTTAATGCTGATAAATAAAACAACTTGATTTCATAATAAGACAGAAAACCATATTTGTATTTATAATCAATATAATAAAGTTAAAATATTCGTACGAATCATACACATATTAAAAAAGATTTATGTTTTTTTCGACTGGTTAGCTTCCTTACGAACCTTGAGTCTTTAATTTGCTTGAGAGGAACTATTATTTAACTATTTATTATTAACTATTATTATCTCGTACAGAAAAACTTTATCTTGAATTATATATATTGTCGTCATAACAAACACTACAACAAACATTTGAAACATTACTTAATTATAAATTAGTTTCTAATTACAACTTTAAACATAAATTTCTTTTATATTTCTATCAGCTTGCTTTCTAACTATCAGTTTGATTTCTAACTTGATTTCTAACTTCTATTTGTTATATATGCTTTCTAACTGTTCTTGTATTTGCTATATATGAAGCAGTCATCTAAATTAATTGTGAAATAAAACTTAGTATCTGTTGAAAAATAATCCATCAAAATTGTTTTACCAAATTTGTATTTACCAAAAACATTTTTGCCAGTTTATTGGAGTTTTGCTCATGGGTTATATTATGGACCATTAGTGGCATCCGCATTAAATGGCTGCTAACTTTTCTATATGTTATTAGTTGTTAGCCATCAGCCTGACACATGTCGGCTTCCACTAAAGGTCCACTATAGAACTGTAAGGCAAAACTACAGTTGTCTGCTCAAAATGATTACATAGGTCCACGTAATTTCCGCTATAAAATGTTTTCTGAAAATATATTTATATATTTAGTAGCTTATCATTATAAGGATATTAATACTATTTAATTCTATATAATTAATTCTTACTTAATTCTAATACAATAATAATAATATTAAAAAATACAAAAACTTAAAACCATCTAATCATTAGACATTAAATAATTCAAAGTTCTTTAAGGATAACTTAAACAAACAGATGGATAAATCAGTTCAGATATTGGAATTAAAATGATTTAATGTAATAATAAAAAGTTATAATGACTTTGACCTAAAAAATATCTTTTAGAATAAAATAAAAGTATTAGAGCATAAAATGTAGTCTTGATGCAAGATATGGTAGAAATATAAAATCATAATTTGTAAATTCTCCTGCAATCAATACTTTTCCATGAGGGAACATCGCAACTGCATAATTTCACCCCAGATCCTCATGTAAACTGCAGCACCCTTAAGTTCTTGATAAACTATACTTTCTAAAATAGTGTAGATATACTTATTTACAAGCTAACACCTAACATATACATTTTTGTTGTATTTTGTACGTAAATAATTATTTTACTTATGGTTTTATTTTATGTAAGAAACCTGTTTCCATTTTATGTAGGAACCCGGTACTGTTAAAACTTGGTTTAAAAAATTAGAAAAAAGAATTTTTTACATTAAATTCTTATCAAAATCTAGAAATAGTGATAGATAGAGTATAAATAATAATTTCAAATAAGCACAAAAATACAAATAGAGTATTCTCTATCTATGCTATCTAAACAAAATTAGTGTGATTTCTTTTTATAAAAATCTAGTCTCTTGATTCAATTTTTATTGACTCCTTTATTGCCACTTCATGTTGTGATTGGACCATTCTGAATTCTAAAGACCAATTCTTGTAATAAGTAATTCAATCTCCTTATGCTTTAAAATGATGTCTTCACAAATTTTTTGCATAACTTTGATTATTAATAGCTTACAAAGTTAACAAATATTTTTGTTATTTTGCATGAAAATGTATCATGATGCTGTAATGATGTAATTATTAAATACAAAAAGATATCTAAATAGTTATTAACTACATAGGCATAATAATAGTTAAATAGGCATAAAAATAGTTATTAACTACATAGGCCTTGTTTTGACAAAAAACTAAATACTAGATATATAAAAGTATACAAAACTTAACATGTTTGTATCATATTTTTATGATTTAATTTATAAAATATATAAAAACATAATATATATATATATATATATATATATATATATATATATATATATATATATATATATATATATATATATATATATAAATATATATATATATATATATATATATATATATATATATATATATATATATATATATATATATATATATATATATATATTTATATATGTATATATATATATATATATATATATATGTATGTATATATATATATATATATATATATATATATATATATATATATATATATATATATATATATATATATATATATATAAATTCCTTTAATAACCATTGAAATTATTTTAAAATATTCGTACAATATATATATATATATATATATATATATATATATATATATATATATATATATATATATATATATATATATATATAAATTCCTTTAATAACCATTAAAATTATTTTAAAATATTCGTACAATATATATATATATATATATATATATATATATATATATATATATATATATATATATATATATATATATATATATATATATATATATATATATATATATATATATATATATATATATAAACATATAAAAGTCATTTTATACAAATATGTAAAGGTGTACAAAAAGATACATAAAAAAAATATTAACCTAAATTGAAAAAACAAGCATAATATGCTTGTTTGCTTTGTAAAGTTACATAAAATTTATATTATGTAAATATAGTGATGATGAAATAATAAGAACTACATTCACAATATTTTTATATAAAAATGCATGAGTTATCTTTAACATTATCATCTTCCTCGTTATCATTCCTTCCTCCTGCTTGATGATCCCCTTTTTATTTTAAACATGACTTTATAATATCTTCAATAATTGCAACATTTGATTCAAGGCACTTATTCGTTTGCATGGCAGCTCCTCAATATATGCTGAATAATATGTACATAAATATACATTTATCAAAAAATACATGAGTCATGGTTTATATACTAATTTTAATTCGATTATAAATTGAAAAACAACGAAGTTCTGTAATAAAAAAATTGCGTTTAACTTTTGCGCGTAATTAAAAATACTACCCAACGCTGTCAATGTTGGCCAACGTGTGCGTGCTAGCTGGGTTGTTTATTGAAAATTACAATACCCACTAAAAAGTTGTGTTTTATACATATATTTTGACTTTTTAAAGTCTGCGTAGGATGTATGAATCTGTAATAACAAAATATCTAGCAGTTTACGCTTAACGTAAAGTAAAAATAATAACAATCTTTTTTTAAATCACTTTAAAAATCATTGCATCAAGACAGTTTAACTGTAATATGAAACAACTGATACTTCTTAAACACTTTTTGCTCTGAAATGTTGGCAAATAAAGGTTAAGTAAACAGTATTTAAAACTCTACAATGAGTTATTCACAAACTTTTACTTTTTTGACATTAATAGAGTCTTTTATCTAAAAAATGCTTTAATATGAGTTTTTAGATGTTTAACTTTACGAGCCTTTTGTAATAGACAATTGTTCTATCGTGTGATAAAATAAAGTTTGGCAATGGAAACTGTTTTGTAATTTGTTGTGTTACTTCCACAGGACGAGACTGCTACTGCTAACTGTTACTTCTACTGCTAAAATTACAGTACCTAATAAGATCTAGAGATAAAAAATTTGCATCATCACAATTCCAAAAATTTTGTTTATTACTTTTTTTTATTTCAAAGCATTTAAGTTCAGTGGCAAGTACCTCTAAAAATACATCAAAATCACCAATCCTGCCATTTTATCTTGTACAAAACGCTTTTATTATACAAGAATAACAAACATTTTAAAAAATTTGTTCAAATTTTTTTTCAGAATATTAAAACGCTTTTGACTAATATTGAAAAAGAGGCAAACAATACCAATAGGTGTCATCATATTGTATACTACTTTTATTTTACATGTACCTGCAGCACAACAATGAAACCATGAGAATCACAACTAACAAATAGTACTTTTGGGATAAAAATTTTTACTTTTATTGTAGCACCAGATCAGTTTTCAGCTATATTTCGCTTCATATTCTGATGAAATTGAGTTTTCTTAATAAAAGTTGTTTATGGCCTTTAAATATGCTACAAATAGAGGTTTACAAAGCAGAACAAATTTACTTGATTCTTTTGATCCGATGAATGACACAACTAACACTATAAGCATCATGTTTTTACTTTGAGTATGCAAGCCAAGTAAATAAGCAGAGCCAAGTAAATAAGCAGAGCCAAGCAAGTCGAAAGAAGCAACCTAATTTAATGCACTCAAAATGAAAACTAGAAGTTACCTTTGAAAATTATTTAGTAAACCATATCTTTCTTCATTGTTTTGTTTATTAATTATTTGTGACTTGCTATAT